TTTTTTTTTTTTTTTTCTTAAAAAAACATATGCTGGAAAACGAGTCCAGCGAAAGCAGCTTGCGTAAGGTGAATGTGGATCTGAGAAGATTGCAAAAGAGATCCTTTTTTCAAACCTAGACCTTGGCGAACATAGCATGGGTGACGAGACAGAGCAGTTGGTCTCAGCAGACGGCCGTCTTGAGGGCCTCTTTCTACTCCTCGCAAAATGCGCCTCTTTCTACTCCTCGCAAAATGCGTAAATAGATAATATATCTTGCAACGGAAGGCGGCAACTTGGCAAGGTTCGGTCACCGAATGTACATTCTCCACAATTGCGTCCAAATTCCCTTGAAAAAGTTACAGTTTTGAGTTTGCACTTAGACGCGGATCCATGTAGCAAGATTTATAGGCTGTCTCTTATACACATCTAGATGTGTATAAGAGACAGGACTGTGCGGTCTGGTGGGCCATGGCACCTGAGTCATGAGGAGGATGTGCCATGCTATCCGTTTGTGGAGCATCTCCCTTGACATTTTCTGAGTCATGATTCTCTGTGCTCATCCTCCTTTTGCTGACAATCTCTTCCAAAGACTAATCGTTGACTTCTTTTTTGCAATTTTAGCCTTCTCTCTGTCACGCTGCACTGTGAGGAGGGGTATCTTTGGGGGGATGTCCCTAGCCTGGACCATTCTTTTGTGCTAAAAATAGCTTTTAGAAATTTAGAATTGCTTAGCGGAAGTTAAGGTGGGATGGGATATCAGACTATACTACTCGAGGTAAGTTTGGGATGGCTGCTCTTTATTGTGGTTGTGCTATCGATTTTGGGCTTTTATTGGCTTGTGAGAGAAATTGCGACGGCTTTTTGAGTAGTTCGCGGTATAGAGTAGTCGAGAGAAAGGTAATGGTTATGAGTCTCACGACGTTGTCTATTGATTAGTTAAAATTTTCGAAGGTTGCATTTCCCGTAAAGGAATATAAAAGAAGACCAAAAAAAAAAAAAACTTGAGTACCCTGTTGTGTTTTTTTTGCAATCGGACTTTTTCCCTCTTCGTCAATAGCCAAATAGGCCGTTTATAAGAATAGGCAGTGGTGAATAGCCAAATAGGCTGTTTATAAGAATAGGCAGTGGTGAATAGCCAAATAGGCTGTTTATAAGAATTAATATCTGAATATGTCAAACTATTTTGCTATTCAGTGCTTGAGTCTGGCGTCTTTTGTTTTGTGAAACCTCGTCTAGCTGGTTGAAGAATAGCCAAATAGACCAAACTGTTTTGCTATTTATTTGAGTTTGGTTACTTCGGTATATCTGGCTGGCTATTGGAGGAACTGTGTGGCTGGTTCGTCATGATATGCGATGTTCGAATAGCACGGATAGGTAAGTAGCCACATGACGAACCAGGGTAGAAAAAGCATAAATAGACAGGTATGGTCTGCATCATTCAGTCACCTATTTGGCTATTCTTATAGACAGCCTATTTGGCTATTCTTATAAGCTCCCTTGGTGACTGAATGATGCAAACCATACATGTCCCTTCTTCACCCCTCCCCTCCTCTCCCCTCCTCTCCCCTCTCCTCTCCTCCCCTCCCCTCCCCACCACACCACTTGTCTATGGGGTAACCGTCCTATTCTTGGTCGGTTGCTTGGCTACTGAATTATAAGTTAACGACTTGTTGTTTCTTTCTTTCTTTCTTTCTTTCTTTCTTTCTTTCTTCCTTTTTTTTTCCTTCCTCTCTCCTCTCCTCTCCTCTCCTCTCCTCTCCTCTCCCTTCCTCTCTCCTCTCCTCTCCTCTCTCCTCTCCTCTCCTCTCCTCTCCTCTCCTCTCCCCTCCCCTCCCCTCTCCTCTCCTCTCCATACACATGTGATGATAGGGTTCAGAAGCAGCTTGTCATCTGGTGCACAGGCTGAGGAGCGGACGCTAAGGGTCTCGAACAGTGGACGCTTCGCGTCTGCATCCGTATTGATATCTGATGTCCAGTCTGAAGAAGAGCAGGCGGAACCCAGAGACTGCCATCGATTCATTCAATTCCTTCGGCGCAAACTCCAGGAGCTGTGCGAAATGACCTTTGCATGTTATGATAGACATAGATTGTCCTGCCATCACCGGTTCGGTCATCGATCACTACACAGCCTTCAGGGCATACTTTCAAGAAGCAGGCAAAATGACGAAGTTCGTCCCACTGTCGTCCGTTACTTCACCAGTATCAGCGCGTGCTTGACACCGCCTTCGACCACGTGGTGAACTTTCCTCCTCCCTCAACACCTGCAGGTGACGACCGTACGGAGTCTGCTCGCTCTCCAGACCAAGCGCAGCAGGAGAAGCCTGGCAGAAACAAAACACGGCGACCTCCAGAACGAGGAAGATCAGCACAAAGACGCCAGCCATGACCGCATACATGACACCGTACAAAGTTGCTGGCTGAAGTATTGTGAAGCCGATAATGATTTGAGCGGGGATGAACACTAGAAGCCCGCACACGAACCACCAATGGACATTACTCCATCCACCTTGAATCTTTCGGGTTCGGCTTGCGCCTACGTAGTTTGCAATTAAGTCCATCTTCTGCAGCATAACCGAAGAGAGAATCTGCTCAGCAGACAAAGGAAGATATCGTTAGCGGCCATGAAAGATAGCAGCATTACGCATCAGGCAGGTAACTACCATCTTCCCCCGAACACAACGCACCCTGATTATGAATGTATACAACCTAGCTTTCTGGTCCCATGCAGCCAAAAGTAGGTTGCGTTGTGTTCGGCGGAAGACGGTAGTAAGTTAGTACAACCTATCAATCATCCTCCCTCGCATGTATGCTCTGGAGTGGCAGCAGCGTATGCTCTGGAGTCGCAGCGTCACAAAGTGGGAACCCCCCGATAAGAAAGGATGAGAAAAACTCGGTTCAACTGGTCAACAAAAGACATCAATACTAAGGTCCTCGCCGCAGGGCACACGGAACGAAACAACGACCGAAAAAAAAAA